TGAATTAAATATCAATTATCACTCCTACCTTCAGTTTTTCTTCTCTGATAGCCGTGATTGCACGTTGAATGCCCGGCGGTCGAACTTGCTTTACTTCATTTATTGAAATATCGCTAGGCAATAAGCCCTGAAGCAGCATCTCTGGTGGTTGCTGAAGTAATGCCATAACATTTCTCAGTTGTGCATTTGACCATTCCGATAGATGATAATCAGCGCCATATATCCCACAGATAAACGGTAGGTATACTTCCAGTGGGAGGTATCGTCCACAATTGATGATATAAGCTAAATTGACTTTAATTAAAACAAATCAAATGCCTAATAGGTGATGGAAATCTGTGGTGGAATTCCGTGGTGATATGTGTGAACGTATTGCGCAGCTCGAAGATTGTTTGTTAACACGAACTAATGATTTTAATTAATTTAGAAATCAAATACGGCTCAGCTGAACATCATAAAAAATATATGCTTTCTTTTAAGGGGAAAGTTGAACCGTTCATAATCAAATATTCTATGCGATGTAATCGATACGATAACCAAATTGCGAACAATTGCTGTAGAATAAAATCCGTATTCTGCTGTATCATTTGCTGCATTCCATGTTCCATCATCTGAAAATGTCCAGCATTATTATATTTTTATTAATCATAAACTTTTTTTGCAGTATAAAGTTACTCGCTTACTGTGGAATGAATAATTGGCACAAAAGCAAAGTTCTCTTGGAATGATCTTGGAAGAGTGAAATTTCCTGGCGATGAAAGAACGGGAGCAAAAATATTCTCTGCGATATCACGAACATTTGTATGCTCATTTACGTTTAACATTGTTTCTTCATTGTTGTCATATGTGGGCGTTGTTTCTTCTGAAACAGCGTAATGACATTACCGTACTATTGTTAACATTGTAATTTCGTATATTTATGAGAACAGAAAGATGAAAGAACTTCTCTACTACTCTCATCTTTTCGTCTAATAGTACCTGTAAATATATTACTCATTTGGTAATTAATATTGGAATAATTTCAATTTAAAAATTTGGTGAATCGATGAACTTACTAGTTAGATATCGTCTCTTTTTGTTTATAACGCGCAAATAGTCTTCTTCAGTGCTGTCGTGATTTTTATGTTCTTTGTGGAAAGACGAAATCCGAAGACAGCCATTGGTTGTGTCAGAATTTAAACGAAATCTCGCTTGGCAACCTAATGGAAGGTAACTCTGATTTGGACGTTTACCAACCCCTGAACAATGAATATATTACTTGAAATTTTTGCTTTATTCGTATGGAACAAGTTTTAGCTTAACAGTTGTGAGATAGATCGATTTCTGTGAATTGCTTATTTCCGAATTAATTATTGTAGAATAACGGCCATGAACGCCACATAAAGTTTTTGTATTACTTTTTTATATTTGAAAAGTATTACAAAATTGAGAGAAAGATATATTTGCAGCAGTGTAAATTTATAGAGTCATCCGAAAAAGCAAAGCGTTTGTTCTTTGAAAAGTCGTTGCGGGAAACGACAGGAAGAAATTAAACGTGACCTCTTTTACGTGGAAGCCCATAGTGAGCGCAGTGAAACACTACATATTTATATTTGAAACGGTTAATTATACGTCCTTCGCCATCTCGGAGATGTTCAGAACTGGCTCTCCTGTACGGATAATTCCATACAATTTTGTAGGCTTCCAAATATTCTTCGAATTCATCAAAGCTGAAAAACAGCCATCATTTTCGGTGAAAATACTAATATTTCAGTGTTTTTGTTTTATTCTTAAAGGAAGGATAAACGATACCTTTGAAATGTGGCACCTTCGTAAATCTTCGAAGCCTTACGCCGAAGTTCTTCTTGTTCCGCTGGCGTAAATGTCGAGAATGTTCGGTTGCCGTATCGTTGATTGGTGTTTGGTAATTCCGATTCAATGCAATTTCGTTTGGCACTTGAAGGGGCTGAAATATTTTTAATCAAAATAAAGGAAAGGAAACATGGAAATCTCCTTGAAGTATCACCAACGGATCATTAAGCTCTCACCATTTTCTGGAATCTCGACCTTCTCATCGTTTCGCTTATCAGACCTTTCCTCGCGGTGCTGTCCATTT